ATTTTTTCAGTGTAATGGCAAACTTGAAATTCCCTAATGGACAATATATACCATCATCTATTCAGAAATTTCACGTAATATCTAATATATTATGATAACTATGATAAGAATGCTCCAGCAACGTCTCCAGTTACAATATGAGAAATAACTAGGCTAATTATAATGTCTAAAGCTTCACACATTTTTTAAGTGACACTGATGACAGTAATGCATAGTAAATGTTTCAGTGCAGGGCAAATTACACACAGAGTACAAAGACGGACAGTATACAGATTTTATTAAAAGTGAGGGTGAATCCATAGAACAGAGAGGGGCAGAGTTATAGGTAACCACAGCTGGATCTCACCTGCTAGTCCTTTCAGTCCTTCAGTGAACAAAGACTGGAACTCTCTGGTCTTCACCTGCATAGTGTAGAGACTCCTCCAACACGAAGTAGTTCTCCCAATCACATGAGAACTCAGTATTCTGCTCCACATCTGTACATACACAAAAATAAGGTCGTGTAGTTGTGTTTGTTTCTGTCTCAGTTTTTATCGAGCTACTTGTCACTGATGCTTGCGAGCATTAGCAGTGCGCGCGAAATTGTCATTTTGTTTATGTTAACCAGCACATGAACAACATCGATACGCCAATGTATACATACCAAATACATCAGACAAAACTGGCCTGGACTTAAACGGGATATTTTATAAATATACAACGCAGTTATCGCTTCATAAGGCCAACATATCGCTGCTGTGATGCCTTACCGGAAGAGTTTCGGCAACGTGCGGTTGCTGTCCAATAGCGTGAGATTACGTCAGATTCATGAGGCGGGGTGTCCCATGTTAACAGTAGCTCTCGCGAGACTCAGTTCTTGCTCTTCAGCTGATTTTCCTGTGGCTTTTTTGTGATCTTTTCCTGTTAGATTTGTAGTAAAGAGGCAGAACTTGGCAAATGGCTAAAGTAGAGCTGGCACCGCTAAGACCGTGGAATGATTTTTTCCCCAGTTCGGACAGATTCGCTAAACCAGATGTGAAAGATCTAGCGAAATGGAACAACAGAGTTGTCAGCAACCTGCTTTACTATCAGACAAATTATCTGGCTTTGGCCATAGTTGGTTTCCTCATTGTCGGGTAAGTAATGTTACATTGTAGTCTAACTCATGATTTCGAAGCAGCAGTTGTTTAGTGTTTATTTTGCAGTTTGCAGTCGAGTCCTTTTAGTTGTTGTCCCGTTAAACTGGGGAGTGGCTGATTTTAAACTGAAAATACCGGTACAGATGTAGACTCTAATGGGTAGAAGATCTGGAATGGGTCCCAGAATAATGAATTGTGCCAGAGGTCATTTAAGGTTATTGTTACTGTTAGGGTGTCTTCTTCTTTCTCAACATGGTAACCAAAGTCAAGAACTTTTTCTTAGTCTGTCCTTCATGTAACGTTAGGAATATAACTTGAGCCTTTTCATTAGTAAAGTAAAAATGCAAATGTAATAACATGAGGCTTCTGTGATGTACAGTATGTGTGCACTCCTGGAAACAGACTGAATAACTAGTGCTGTGCTCTAACTCATACAATGCATGAACCATAATCAAGATTTCCATAGGCCTGAAGTTCAAGCACAGCCATAACCTGCAGAATGCTTGAAGAACTAACATTTAGTTTATTCGCTCATGACTCCATACAAGCCACTTTCAATCAGTTCTGAGAACAAGAGGTTACATTGCAGCTTTATGAAATATCTTGGCTTTTGTTGGCACTTTGTTCCAACTAAAGCACAGTCTTACTAAAAATAGGGATGGTCTGTTCATAGGGCTGTGTGATGACATCTTGTTGCCCTGGTCTTCAGGGCCTCCATTTGTCTAGTCAGCTGTTGCGCTGCAGATGGCCAAATGCCCCCAGTGTCTGATTAGGGCTAAAATCCAGTATTGGATGTTTTGTCAATGAGTCAGTCCAGAGTGATGACACTAAACCAACAAGGCTGAACTTTGACACATTTCGTTTACTTGTATGTTATTTTTATCCAGTTCTGAAATAGCTCAGCCATGTACGTGCTTTGACCATACCCCAGTACCTTAAACACATTGTCGGTCATGAAGTTGTCCTACCACTCTGGCTGTAAGGTGAAAAATCCAGTCGCACAACTTTGTTACAGTGACTTTTTTGACCATGTGAGAGGTTCC